GCCCGGCGCGGGCGGCGGCAGGCCGGCAGGGAGGCCGCGGCGCCCGCCATGCCGCTCCTCATCGACGGGCAGCGCGTCGACCTGGCGCGGCCCACGGCAGACATGGTCCGCGCCCACCCGCACCTCGAGGTGAGCAGGCGGCGGGACGGCCGGGCCCGCGGCCTGGAAAGGAGGGTAAAGACCTGCTCGGTTGGGGCGGGGCGGCGGCCGCAGCAACCGGCCCCGTCACGGGGCCCCGCGCGCCCTGGCTCCTGCTTGTAACGGGGAGCGGGGCCGGGCYGCGGAAGGCGTGTGCTTGCATCTCTGTCTACATAACATCACATAGAAAAGGTTATATAAGAACGAGGCATAAGAAGCGTGTGTGTGTGTGTGTGTACATACATACATAAATTCATGTGCTCTGTAGATGTGTATATATATGTGGAAGCACACATTTATAGAAACAGAGGTGGTTTCTTTTTTCCATAAAATCTGATAAAACTACGTGCRATGTTTGTATTTATTTATTTTTATTTTCCAAAGCCCCAGGGTGGAAACTCGCCGCCTGCCCGGGGTTCAGTGGCGAGCGCTGCAGCCGGCCGGGCCCAGGGAGCTGGGCTTGCTGGCAGGGCGCGCCAAGGACTAGCCAAGTTTTGAGGAGTCCTAAGTAAATGTGTTGGACTGAGGCAGTAGGAGCCTGGAACTTTTGTATTTGAAAAGTTTCCGAGAAGAAGAAATCTGTTTCCTGTCATGGTTAAGCAGCCAAGATCAGCTCTGGTATTAAGTGTCTAGTGCAATATTGAACAACTCATGCTGTCCCGGTACCTCCATTTTATCATCTATATAACAGGGAAAGGTGGGATTTTTGTCCTTTTTTTGTTACAGTTTTCCTTTTTGGCTGCAATGATGGGGTTTAAAGTGTCAGGAAAGTGAAAAATTCTCAAAATTCAGAAACTGCTGAAATACGAGATGTGACTTGTTTTTCTCTCTGACTTGGATCCCTTTGCTTTTCAGAGGTGACGTTTCTGTCCAGTAACGGAGCCTGAGAAATCATCCACTGTAGTCTCTGTTATCATTTATCTTTAGGAAAAGGCAAAACTTCTTAGAAGTCAGCCTGCTAAAACTGTGGAACCCCGAGGTCTCCTCTATATTCAGCAAAGAGAATTTGCCGTGACTACCCCTAAAGATGGTATGTAGGAAGGTAAAGGTTTTTTTGTTTTCCCTTACCAAAACCATGCCTATGAGAACAAAGTTCTTACCGTGTTTCTGTTGTTCGCCTTAGGTTCTGTTTCCATTCTTGGCTCGGACGATGCGACTACCTGCCATCTGGTTGTGCTCCGACACACAGGTACCTTAGAGGCTGCTCAGCGCAAAACCCATCCATTTGAAGTGACGAATCTCAGATCAGTATCGGTTTATGCTGCATTAATAAAACAGACTGCAGTTAGGTTTATAAAAACTTGAACCTCAAAAACTCTTTGACGTATTAATTAAATGGCTCACTCCAGAAATCTAGTTTATTCACTGTCGGAAGCTCCATATTCTGTTTGCCAAATAAGATTGCAAAGCTAATTGTCTCACGTGACCAGTGGTTAGTGATAGTATTAGGTCGTGGCCATCTGCATATATAGAATGTGATATAAGAGCTGTTAAATAATAGTAGTGTAGCAGCCTCCAACTATGCAGTCAAGTAACTGTCTTCTTGTGCCTTGCTCAGGTAGCGGAGCTACCTGCCTGACACACTGCGATGGATCGGACACCGAAGCTGAGGTATCGCTCATCATGAGCTCAGTAAAGTCTCTCTCTAACACGGCAGAATGTGGAAGGTCAGTTCTGCTCTTGTATTTCTTGTGTGTGGTTTTCCACACAGTGACTGCAGTTTGTAAGATGGGGAATTTTGAACATGATCATATCCTACACAGTTTTGTGTAGGAAATAACTCTTGATTGGGAGCCCTGTGGGAAATAAAAATTATTTCCTTGATGATTATTTTGAGGATATTTTTTAGCAGCATCTTAAAGAATGGTTCTACTCCCAGTAGTGTCTCTGTAAAAACACCATTGTTAAGTCTCACGTTTACTGTTTTGCAGTGACTTTCACTTCATATGTGCCCAGCTTTCCAAGCTAATACTTTGAGTTTTGTATTTTATTTTTCCTCATACTGTTGATCTTGTAAACACAGTTCGGGATTTGAGAATCCATATGGGATATGTCYATCCTAAAATCACTTTTAAGCAAAATTTCTATCCCCTAAAACAGAATCTAGTTAATAAGGTTCTTCCTGGCTGCACAGGAATCCTGGCATTTGTAGTTTGACAAGAGCAAAAAGTCAATGAAATTGGAGGATATAATCTCTAAAAACCTGTGATTTRAGTTGCCTGGTTTTGAAACGCTCAGCTATGGCAGGGTTTCCCTGTGGTATCTGTTCACTTGCTTTGTTGGAGACCTGCCTCTAAAACTGATGTGGTCCCAATCATCTTTTTAGAAGTTTGAACAAAAGACTCATGAATGAAACCGTCTTTACGCAGACATTTCTCAGAGAAGAACCTTGTGGCCCAAGATAATTGTAAGGAAGCCACTGGAGCAASTTACTTCACACTTAACTAACCCTTTGCTGGGAAACAAAAGATGAACCTGAGATGCTCACAATGGGAGGGACTACTGGGACAGATGGAATTGCATGTGTGTAATGCTCCCTAAAACTCTTAATTTGTGCTGTTTACTGGGTGATTCCTGGGGTGTTGACAGCAGAATTASTGACCATTATTTGCAATATAATGTAGATCAACATGGTGCATGCGTCTGTAATAAATGAAGCTTGAATGATTGCTTTACAGTTTGGGCTGGGGAATATTTTGTAAGGATATTTACTTTGGGATGTCTTTTTAACTGCTGTTTCCTGTTATTCCATCTCTGTTAGGCTGGAAGTGCACCTAGTTGGAGGTTTCAATGATGATAGGCAGTTATCACAAAAACTTACTAATCAGCTTCTTAGTAAGTTCACGTTTTTTCCACTCTCATGTCCCAAAAAAAMCCCCAATAGTTCTGACTGCATTTGGGTGAAATTTATTTGTAGTCTGAACCTCCTGTCACTTAAAGAAATCTGGATGTGTCTTGGAGGCTCTGTCTTCCRCTGAGAACTTGGCATGGAGAGAGGTTGGACTCGTGAGGCTCACGTATGGCCAGAGCCTGGAGGGAGGGTATTTGCTTGGCAATTTGTGGGTTATATTTTAGTGTAGAATTGGAGTGCAGGGAGCTGGGCTTGATTCCTGGCCCTGCTGCTGCAATACTGCCTGACTTTGGTTGAGTGGTTTCTCTGTCATTATCTAAATCCATCACGTGGGTGGCTTGGCTAGTAACGATTCATTTCAGCTCTTACAATCTGTGGTGGAATTTAATTGCAGCGTGAAATTGTCTGATGAAAGATGTTATGTCTGTGTGAAATCTGTGTTCTAGAGACACGACTGGAGCTTTACAACCCAATGGGCAATGTAAGGTACTAGCTTAGTCACTTTAAGTGCCCTGACCTCTAAACAAGCGTGAAGAGGCCTAGGCCACCACTGGTATTGGGAACGGGCATGTATCAGTACTGGGGGAGGTGGCAAAGGATGATAAACAGGTTTGACAGAAGGAAAGGGAGCCTGAAATGTCCTGAGATGTGTCTTTGTCATCCTCTCATCCAGTGATCCTGTTGTGCGTGTTATGTTGTGTGAGAGTTTTCTACAGAAYGAAGTATTCTGGTTTATAAGTTGTTTTTTTCAACTTTTCAATTTCCATGCATAAAGCTTACATACTATTAAAAATTAAAAAAAAAAAAGTTCTGGAAGGAGAAATAAAATACATTTAACGAAAGGCAGGATTTGCTCACTATATATTTAACATTTTGTGAAAATATGTTTAAATAGCAGCTGTTAGATACATATTGAACTAAAGAAGAGTTCATGTGATGCCAGAGCTGTTTTAAACCAGCATCAGTAAGAGGCACAACMGTGTACTTAGAGCATTTTAGTTGCCACTGCCAAGGGCAACTCTTTGTAAATTACCGTTTCATGTAGTAGCTCTGGCTTTATTTTATCAAAGTTGGTTTGAAACAYGTCTGCAAAGCACACTGCTATTCTGCCTGTTCTAGTAGCAGTGGTTCTGGCAGCCTTAGGGCCCTGCCTGTGTTCTCCACGGTGCGCAGCACTGCTCGTGCCCTGTGTCCATGTATGGCACCAGCTTTGCCACCACTCAGTTTTATACATTACTGCTATCGTTGTTGCTGTAGGAGCGTTTGATCTCCAACCAGATGATGTTCATTTAGTGACATTCTGCGTAACAGGTAAGCAAACGTTTCCTTGGTTTCTGAAGTATTTTAGCCATTGAAATCAAATGTCCTTTCCCGGTGCTTTCTCTTTCCTGTGAGGAAGAGCAGTATGATTCCTCTGTAACGATTTCCCAGTTTTAATTTGTTTCTGCTGGAAGCACGTGGTGATGTCAAATAGGAATCTCTCTTCTTACCACTGGCTACCTGTGATCATTACTGCATTATTTCACTTCTTTTGTCCTGTGGAAAAAGACTGTATGTCTGCAAATCTTGAGAGGCAACTGAGAAGGGAACTTGCCAGCTCTTGATGTTAGACCTCCCTCCCTGCAGTTTTGAGTGAGATTGTAGTATGTGAAACTGCATAAAGATGGAAATAACTTTCTTGTATTGCATCCCGGTCATAGTATTTCTGCAATCTGCGCCTTCTGTCATAGTCGCTAACTTGCATCTCTGAAACATGGCAGCATGGAAGTTCAGCATTTTGTATTTTTTAATTTCTTTCCCCTGTGATTTGCTTCCTTACAAAGCAAGACCAGAGTTGTCCCAAATGTTATTAYGTAGAGTCCTACTCTTTGATTCTGACCTGTGCCTTCTCTTTCCACATCTTATAGGAGATGGATAATTTTGCTAAGCAATAACACYTGCATGACCTCATTTTTTTTGGATGTGGCTAAATGTTGAGGAAATAGGAGCTGCTTTATCTCTTAGCGTATTTGACTCTGTTGAGATGGGACCTTCTATATCTGCTGATCAGGTTTATATCTTCATGACCCRTAGGCTCAGAGTGAAAATGTAAAATGCTTTGCATTTTCACAGGACTTCTCAGGCTTTTTTTTTAATGTGTTTTTCTTTAATACATGCAATGTTTTCTTTTAATACATAAACCAAATGAATGCCATGCAGAGGAAAAAAAATCATACGGCTCTTTGACACTGTACTACTGTGTTTTTTTTTTTCTTACAGAACTAAATGACAGAGAGGAGAAGGATATTCACTTTCCAATCATTTATGGAATAGGTGAGTTAAACTGTTAATGTTTTGCAATGGGATTGCTTTTCAAATTCTGATAGTAAATGAGTTGCCTGTAATGATTAGCAAATCCAGTCCTAAAAGTTGAGTGCCTTTGATTCGTACAGGGTTTCCATTTGGTATTGAAGGCATAGATGCAAGTATTTGTACACAAATGCTTTTTTTTTTTTTTTTTCTTCTTTTAACTGGCTGTATGATTTTGACCAGTGTCAAGTTCTGAATTAATTATTGGCTTAAAATTGGTCTTGTCACTGTTTGTTTTGTTTCTTTTCTAATTACTTTTAATATCCCTGAAAGTCTGTCAGACCAACACTGAAAATAAGTAGAAATTCACTATTGTAGGTGAAGAGGTCTGGGGTACTGAAAAATAMAAAAGTACTTTTTGATACCTACTAGAACTTTGCTATGTTTCAGATAAGCAGAAACAAAATGTTATGTTGGGGTTATGGGTGTTTTAAGTGATTTGGAAGAGCTGACCATTTTTGTACTTATATTCTTATTTTCTGTTAGCTGTAAATGTTAAAACAGCAGAGATTTTTCCTGCAACCTTCCCCGAGAAAGGGCCTGATGAGAATTTGCGGTCAGCCCACATCTTAACAGGAGCCCCAGTAAGTAAAATAAAATCAAAGCAAAATGTATTTTTGGTGGAAAGGAAGAGCAGTGAGTGGCAATGAGCTGTCATATTAGAGAGGAATCCTTCGGTATACTCTCTTTGTAACAAGAGATGTGACRGTGGGAAGCAAAGGATGGGGATGGAGATCAAACCACATCTGAGCTTTCAACTGTGAGACTCACCCTTGTCTTAGAAKTGCAGAGCTCCTTCCCATGCTGTTATGGTGCCAGTGGGATAACTGAGGTAAAGGGATTCAGGTTCTGGGCATAACTTGAGCAGTACCTTCCAAATCTAGGCTTCTTGTTGCTGGTAATGGGGGAGAAGTTGTTTAATCTCTTGAATTCTATAAATCCACTACTGCAACTTTGTTGGAATGATGGGGAAATCTTAATGACTAAGCTGGTAATGAGTAGATCAAGGATAGAAACTGCACCTAAGGACTTGCAGATAACTCTATATACAGAAGAGAGCAAATTCACTTTAATATTGAGGTTCCCTGCAATCTATTCTCTGTCCCTGCAGCTGACTAACATTTATGATGCAAAGATGGAACAACTACGTATAGGACCTTATTTCTGGAGGCCTTTTCCACATGTGGACTTCTGGTTGGAACAAGATGATAAAGAGATCCTACAGGTAACTTAAACTTTATATTCATCTCTTCAGTCAACCAAGATTAAGATAGATAAATAGTGTGTGAAGYTCTTAGGGGGAAGGGTGGAAAATAACCTGATAAAAAGCCAGAATAATTCAGAAATTAATATTCTGGAACTTAAACAGCTCTTGTTCCCATCTTGTTTTTCAGAACCTTTCCACATCACCACTGGCTGAGCCACCCCACTTTGTTTCCCACATTAGATCTACGTTAACATTTTTAAAAGAACACCCCTTTCCCTCTCATTCCCTRTTTCCTAATAGGAAACCTCGCATCTACAAAAAGAATGAAGAAGGTTTGTGGGAACAGGTTTGTTCTGACAAGATCTAACCTGGAGATCAACACCAGCCATTTTATGGAGTGTAACCTTGCCAGAAGAAGATCAATTTCTTGTGCAAAAAGAATAAAATATTTCTGGTAAAAATGATGGCTTTTCAAAATAAAATTATTTTGGCAGAAGAATATGGCTTTTTTTGCACTACTTCTATGCCTGAATTACTGTTACTTTACCATAAGGWTTTTTCTGTTGGTTTCCCATGATTTTGGGTGAGGAATCCCTGTTCGAAGTGGGTGCTAGAATGTTATCCACTCATCTTGAARTATTTAATATTAGTAAGTGTAAGTTAATTATTGCTATGAAAAAGGTTAAACATTTTTTCTTTCAAAACCTGAGCTGATTTGAGGGAATAATTCAAGACATTTCTGTCATTCAGAATCTACATGATTGATTGGTGATGTCGGGCCAGCCTTAATAATTATATTAAACCTGTAGCTATTCTGACCTGGCTAACTTCAGTTCACATGCTGAGATACAGCAGTTAGCTTGGAGCTGGACTGCCACTCAGTTTGACTAAGCAGTAGCTTGAAGTCAGATGTAATCACTAAAAATCTGCTTGGAAGGAAATAAATAGAAAAAGGTACATTTCCTTCTCATTGTCTTAAAGGTCTAGGATTGGTCAATCCAGGACCAAAACTGACTTAGAGCTCCAGACTTTCTTCAGGATTGGTTAATAATTTGTCTAATTTAGCATAGTCTACAACTCTGTTTCAAACTGAAGGGTCTTAAGAGAGGGGAGAAGTGTTTCTCAAACCTGTGCTTTACATTTGTATTTCTCCTTACTGCTGGGCAGCAGCATCACCTCCCTTCTCAGCTGCTACTTCATCCTCAGTGAGGAGGCTCTTGTTGGAAGCCAGGCTCTGGTGCAGGTGGAGCTCCTGTACTGTAACAGGCCCTTGATGGAGCAGCTGTGTTGTTTCTGTTGCTCTAAAATCATTCGCTTAGCATAGATCAAGAGATGGAGCAGGGCTGAGAAACCGAAAAGATTAAAGTCATCATGGTGATTTTTTTTTCCTTTYAGAAAAAAGCCGCCTACACAAAAAAAAAGTTGCCTAAACTTACTATTTAGTGAAACTTCTAGAGTAATTTAATTCAAGAGTAATAATTTGAAGAATCTTTATTGAAACATTTAGGTAGTATCTAAAGAATGAAGCTCATTCCAACAAAACTACTGGTTTAACAATTCCAAATATAAAAACATTAAAAATTAATCTTTATGGTGATAAATTTATCCCCAACAGATTACTTTATTAATATACTTCATTGCACCAAAGGAAAGTGATAAGGAAGACTAGTCAACTTCATTGTTTTCGCACTTAGAAAAATTGCACTCTGATTAACATAAATTACCCCAACAGCAAAATCAGGCTGGTTTAAACCTTCCCAGCCCCGTGGAGTCTAGAAGCTGAGAATCAAGTTAGGTGACAGGACAATTAAACAAAAAATCTTTTAGATTATCCAAGTAAATCCTGCTACTACTACAGCTATTGGGGTGTTGATTTACATATTTGGGGGAGGTTAAAAAAAAAAATCAAAGCAGGTTATTGTATTTGTTTTCAGTTCTGTAGGGGGTGGGACTCAGGATTTTTCCCAAAATCAGATGCCTTGGAGAAAGCAAGCTTTTTCAAAGATTTCTTTATCAGAAGAAACTAYTGCAAGCTCTGAATACTTGCAGCAAAGTGACTAAGATGAAAATAATTTACTGATGAACAAAGACTTCTACACTTTAGTTTTTGATTTAGTCAAAGATTAAATTGTGCATTAAACAATCCTAGAGATGATATGAACTCGTGCTGTAGTGTAACTAACCTGTAATCTCTTTGTACAAGTCCTACCATAGGTAAGTTACTATTGTTCAAAAATAAGTGTTGAACCATCACAAATGTATCAGTTTTCCAAGCTTTACTAACAAGTATCTTTAAAAATACACAACAGAAAAAACCTCCAGTTACACTATATAAACGTGTCCGGTAAGATAAAGGGCGTGCAAAGGAAAAATAATGATGTACTGATGATTCCTTTCAGGGGTGGCAGCAAAAAGCCATCTAGGCATGCAGGGCCACTAGTGCTTTCTACAAGTTTACACCTCAGTAATTTGGTCCCCGCTCTATCTAGGCCGATAGCTGAATGGGTCAATTCATACAACAGAAGGGAACAGAAATGGCTGATGGAAAAGTAACTGTTCAGTGACTGATTCATACACAATATCTATCCTTGCTACTCACTGCACCACAACTGTTTGGCAATATGCTTTGTAAGGATGCAAAAGAGGCAAAATAGAGCTAGTAGGATTAAGTAGTTTTGCAAGAGAGGCCAAACTCATTTTTTAAATCTAAAAAGGTGAATAACTGACTTTTTTTTTTTTTTAATATATTCACATAAAATAAGATCATTTTATGATTGTTGGGTGCAGTTGCAGGCTTAATCTTGTGTATGGCTGATCAACTTGTTAGAAACTACCAACATGCTTAGAATCACATAGGAGTTTTAAACCGCCATTCCTTGACAAATGTCTACACGCAGTTAATGAATCTTACTATGACTTTGGTGATACAACATATACAGGATAAAGCAACTGTAACAAGTGTATAGYAAGACAAATCTCTGCCCCATTTGGAGGATAAATTTTTTATCTGTGCAAAATCTCAGTTAATAAGTTACAGTAGTTGTTACTGTACTAGTGTGTGGCACTGTTCACATTTTAAATGCATCATTAATTAACACCCTGCCTACCAGGGTACGTGATTTCCTTACAAAGTCTCAAAGCCGGAGTGTGGGTTTTATCTTTGACTGCCTTGTTCCTCTGCCTGCGCGCAGGCGCTTGGTGATTTGTCACTTGGGACAGTGTCCCTTTCTGCAGCTGTCACCAGCGTGGCCGCCTGCTGCTGCTCCTTCATTCCCAGCTCCAGCCGCGCTTGGTCGTGGCCAGGAGAGAGAACAGGAGGTCTCTGCTCCATCTTCTCCAGGTCATCACAGTGGCTGATTGAGCTGGTCTCACTAAATGCATCAGAGCTTCTTAAAGATCTTTTAAAAATTTTTTGACCTGTAAAAAGAATACAGTTTAGGAATACAGTTGAAGAACAGTGCTAGATGGTAAGTGCAAAATGCAGACAAGTTACATTTGAAGAATGCAGCCAAAATTAACAACTGCAAAGAAACAGGTTGTATTTGAGTGCTAACTTGCACCTTATAATGTAAATACTTGTCCACAATTACAGTTATCTATGCAAGTCAGTAGTCTCTGCTACTTTATCCTGTGTAAACAAAGGTTAAATTTCGGATTAAAAATATATTTTTTGCATGCACAAGTTATTTTACATTTAAAAAGTCACAGCAAGATGGCTRTTCCTGGAAAAATTTCTAGTAGAAAACTTACTATCCCAGACAGACAGCCAGGAAGAAGTAAATAGTTAGTTAAAACAATATAGTTTCTCTCAGGCTTATAGTAATTACTAATATCACTAAAAATAAAATGCTGTATATTTAATAGCTTTCCACCCYTCGAATGACTTGGCCTACAAAATACTAGCTAGCAACAGAAATGCAGTTGCTCAAATACATGCATATTCATTATCTGTTTACCTGCTAATTTCTAAGTCAATAATCCTGCATTTTAATATTCATGATTCACATTATAACATTCAGTCTCATACATTATTCCTGAGTAAGATTCTACACTTCAAAGGCAACTGCTAACTCARAGAGTAACAACTTCCCATAATCCATAAAGAATCCTTGGGGAAACAGATTGGGCCGTTGTTCCACGCCAAATTTAAATTAAGTTTTTAAGGTGGATTTCAGTTCCAAATACTATGCAACATGGAGGACACAGTGCTCTGCTTGTGTCACACAACTTGGGTTTGGGCCAGAAGGTTCTGGCAATTCTGAAAGCGATGGCGGGGCGCAGCAGCTCACCAGGAAGGCGCTGCTTGGCGAGGCTGGAGGTCGGCGTGGGYGGCGGAGTGGTGCCTGTTCCTTGCGCTTTGGATACGTATGTGGATTCTGTGGATTCTAGAGAGCCTATGGGGAAAACCAGTGCAGAAGTGGTAAAGTGAATATAATACCAGCTTTTGATSAGTATTTAAAAGGTACACAGCAGTCAATGAACCAAAACCCAAAGGGGAGGAAGATGCCAAACACAAAACAAAGCGAGGGAGAAAGGTTGTTAGTGAACACAGAGAGGCTACTGCCTTATATTGGACAGACATTTTTCTGAATTCTGAAGACTCTACCACACATCATTTCAGCAGGCAAACGGGTACTTTATCAATAGGACACTAGTTAGGTGATAGCYGAATTCAGGATTTCAGGCAGAGAAATCACATTTAAGTAGCACCGCAAAACATGTGACTGACACTTCGCAAGCTCTCTCGAGCAAACACACGTATACAGAGGGAATATTTTAAGACTGGAACACTTGTCATCCTGCCGGCTTTTATATTTATGAATGTAGCACAAATCTCAAAGAGTATACACTTTGCAAACTRTATATCTAAAAGTCATATGATGATTCCTTTCTTAATAAATGATAATGTCTAACAGAGCTTTTGGAATGTGATTCCATATGCAAGAACAAAATGTTAACTAGGCCAGAGAGGTTCAAAGATTTTCTCATTGGATGCCAGAGAAGTGGTGAAGAGGCTGTTCTTGTACACCCTGAGGGTGGATTATGTCACTCATGCACAGATCAGCACAAGCAAATCTGCTGCAATTTCAGTATAAAATTGGAAACATTTAGAATGACAGCATAAGATGGCTGCAGATATACTTAGTCCTACCTGCTGTTAAATTAAATGTTCTTCCCTTTGGTGAGGCTTGAAATGGAGAAAACCAGTTCAACACCGAGCTTACTACGGGAATTTGTCGCAAAAGTCCCTGCAAAGTATACAAGGGAACACTGTCTGGTGAACAAGCCCCCTATGTTGGCACAAGTTAACTGTAAGTTACTAAAATAACAAATGTTTAGACCCCTACCTCTTCTAAAAGTCGTTCTTCGTTCGCTTTCTGCAGCTGAAGTTGTGCTTCCTGTATCCCTTTTCTAACAACTTCAGTCATGTTTTCCAGTAGCTAACAAATAACACAAATGATACATAGATGATTTGGACTTGAAACTCTCTTTTCAGTTCWGGTTTTGAAGAATTAAATACATTAGCCAATTTTCTAAAATAAGTTTTTAAAAGTATGCTCAGAGGACAGAAGACAGTTTTTAACATAGAAGGCACGTATTTTACTTTGAAATGACCCTGTAAACCGAATTCCTCTAAGGTTAAGTAAGCACATAAACATGCCTCAGATTCACTAAAGCTGAAGAATTTTTAGCTTTATCAGGTACAGTTTTATATATGAAAGAAGTACTGAAATACAATGATCTATTAATACATACTCGTGAATTTTCTTCAATTTCTCTGCCAGTTGCTGCAATAGTTTCAACTAACTCAGACACATCCAAATCCTCAGTTACCATGCCAATATAAACACAATTCTTTTCCCCTCCAAATTCTGGGCCTGTGAAAAAAAGAGAAGTTTGTGACACATAAAATTGCATTTTCACAATAGGTACCATGTGCACATAGGTACATGTGTTTGCACATGCGCTTATGTGCAGAAACCCTTCTGCCCTCCATCACGCACTTCAGGAATTAAGTGCATCAGCAGCAAAATTAYGCCAAACATAAAAGCAGAGTCCTGTAGGTCTTCAGAGAAAAAAAGAAAAATATCTACATCTAATCAATGAGTTGATATTTTATACAAAGAGCTACAGAACACAACAAAAATGTATTAAAAATCCCTGATACCTTTTCTGTATCTACGAATCARTTGGTTTCACAATTCTAGGGTACTTGAACAACTTTTGAAAGCTGAATAGAAAGAATAAGAGCTATGAGAAAGCAAGATTTCTATTTTTTTAGAGCTATATGGTGGCATTATTTACCAATTACCGTTATTTGGATGATACATCGTTTTTAAAAAGTACAAGTAACCTGTTGTAAGGTGACAGAGCTAGTAAGATGACTCTTAGCTTAAATGCAAKTTTATTAAATAGTGTAGTTACCCAAAGAGAAAGACAGATCCGACTCCAGGTCATTTAGTTTTTTCAGCAGTTCTGTGTTAATTTTTTCTAATTCCTTTTCTTGTTTGTCATCATTCTTCCCATCACTGTGATAGCTGTATCTTCAAAAGCCAGAAGACAGTAATTTCACTTTACAGAACAYACAAAACCATTTAAACAGATGTGCGCACCAAGGGTACTTCTACAAACAAACCTGTTCTATGAAACCAAAAACTGAGAGCAAAGATGGTTTCAATTAAGAAGGTTATTAGCCTTTGTAAGCAGAGATTTTGGGTAAGTGGGATTCCTGCTACAAATCTGACTGATTACAATGGATTTTTTTTTAATGTAATATATTGATTACACACCAACTGTTTTGAGAAGAGAGCAGCTGTTCCAACAGACTATATAAAATGATCAGAATAAAGACTTGACCTTGGCAAATGAATAAATTGTGTTAAGAGAAATGCATGCAACACTTGGTTATATAATGTAGGATCCTCATGCACTTTACAGTATCATTTAAGAGATCCACAGGATGCTTCCAGTACTAGAATTGTTGCCCCAATATTGCAAAAGCAGCTCTTCAGTTTTGCACATTGCTTACTCTATTTAAAAATACTGTTTTTCTTCTTTAATAACACTCTAAAGCCTCATTTGGGTGCAGAGAGAGATGCTAACCAGCAAACAATACATCAAAATCACTGCTCAAGAGATCACACATTCCTTTTGGTTCATGCTCTTTACCTTACGACACCCAATCCTGGCCAACTGAGATCTTCAATATAGACCAGGCCTACTGTTCTCTTCACTTCTTGCTCAAATTCTTCTCTCAGTTGCAGTGTACTTGTCAGTACCGGTATCTTCATTTTTAAGCAGTCTACTAACTGATCAACATCCTGTATCTCAGTTCCTAAAACTGAAGAGCTGATGCATTAGTAGGTGATAAACCCTAATGGACATATAGATTACTTATATTTTCACGTGTTTATTTATTAAGAAACCTCTTCACAAGTTAATCCTAATATCATTTACAAGTAGTAGTGAATTATCTTAAGCTACACAAGTCTTTTCTTCAGTAAGCTATCCACTGATACATCAAAATAGTTAAAAACTTCTGAAAAATAAGCTAGTAAAAAGAAGAATTTTTATATTATAAACGAACACTGACTATACCCTAATTTATTTTGTCAATAGTTAGTGTCAGAAAAATCTCTCATCCCATAGCCAWACAGAAAAAGAAATAGTTCCTATTCTGTTCACGAACTGTCAACATCCCCAAACAATATTACTCTAAAATTTAATTTTCTCCATACACCAGAATGCCCTCACACCAGCATCAGGGTATTTTGATAACTTAAACTGTTCCCCTACCCAAGAGTCAGGGTAGCTAAAAGGAGACATCACAGCTGAGCTCAAACTACACAAAGTAGGTGTGTGGGGCTAGATTCAACAGCTGGTTTAAGACACTTTTCAGAAAACAGATTTTTTCCACTACATCAGTAGTTACAAAAAAAACCCTGAARCTTTCATAAATAACTCTATGTAATTATATTTGAACACTAGCTCCATTCCAGCGTACAAACATCTATGTAAGAAAGGTTAAGTACCTTCTCTTACTGTTAAGCATGAGAGGAGGAACAATGAGGGTGACTCATCCCTGATATTCTTTTTTATTACTGTCAAAAAAGAGCGCTTCTCCCCTCACTTTTCCTAATGAATTTAAAAATAATTAAAGTCTGTCTCTGCAGATGCAGTGAGGCAATGTCAGGCAGAACAGCTGAGCTGCAACTGCTGCCAAAGCATGGCAGAATGCTGAATCTGAGAGGTTTATTTAAAACCATTTAAATTCAAGACATGCAAAATCCTCACTATGGGAGAACATAGTGAAGACTTTCTATCTACTTTTACAGTCAGTAGATTGCTATGCACTTTTATAAGAAATTGTATCTTCACAAGTGGCTGAATTAAGTGAACGTTACCTGCAGAAGTCATTAATGGGCTGAAACGCACACAGGTGCCCTCATCTTCCAGTTCCACCACATCGACCCCACTGGCAGGAACCAGCTGCGCCAGCTGCTCTCCTAGCTGGAGGGATCGGTTCAGTTACAGAAACGCAAAGAGCAGAAACCTCCTGCAGTCACTGCTTCAGGTTAGGTTGTTGTTCCCACAAATCAAATGAACCACATGCCACACAGTTTTATCTGAATTTCTCAAAATTCTAGGATTATTTATTGCAGCAAGAGTACATTAGCTTGCTGGTGACAAAACAAATTTGGACATTTAATTGAAGTTTTCACAATTTTAACTAAGCTATGAGCATCACAAGTCAGAAGTTCTTTTGACACTATATCACATGAAGTACACCACAACTACAGAGCACTGAAACCAGAACAGTTCTGCTCTCATTTGTCTGAAGATGCATGTTTCTGAAATTCATTCTGTTTTAATCTGGAAAGAAAGTCTCTTCATGCATGCACAGACACTGTCAACGAGATACCAACTTGATTTAAGAGACTTAAACTTTCCAAATACACCCACAAAATTCTTCCACTCCCAAATTTTCAGTATCAAAAGTTTAAGRTTTTGTAATAATTATTTTTTAACTTGTAAAATAACCAGGAATATGAAGCTAACTGTGCTGCACAACAAATAATTTTTTTTTAATCCAAAACAMGCACTAGTTTTTGCAAAGAATATCACATTAAAAATAACTACCAAGTTAACTTACTGACTAAAGTTTTGTAATTACTGATGACCCCCTAGAAATATTTAGCTCTCTCATTTCTTCTTTCCTAGAGAGAGAATTCTTACCCACTGATTGAAGGTGTCGCAGACGTGTCTCTCGTTGCTTATTATAGGGTGCTGAATTGCTGAGGTCGGTGCAGCATGTGGGGTTTGATCTGGATCCAAAGATATAAGAATCAGAGATGTGGATTTTTATTTAAGTAAACAAAAGGCAACCTAAAAGTTAGATAAAAGACAAATCTGTTAGATAATGTAACACATCTAAGCTGCCTATTGGACCTCAAGAAAAATAAACTGCGATTTTTCTTTAAAGACAAGATGAACATGGCAAATACGATGTGTATTAATTGATATATTTGTTTAAAAAAAAACCAAACCAAATACTTCTTAAAATTTTGAGGTTCTAATACCTCCACAGATTTTTTTTTCCACAAAATAAACATCCTGTAATAACAAACTGTAATATTTGATGACATGTTGAGCCATATTAAGCTTTAATTATTGCTTTCTGTTTTTTAAACAAACAAAAATAACTTAGGATTATATATTAATATAATGGTTAAACACTTCACATGCTTTTAATTTAGGTGTGTGGTTTTTCTCTAGTAAAGTTCTTTGAAGTCTTTTGTTAGCAAATTCATCAATGTACTTCAATGTACCTCAAGTTATTTCACTGAACCACAATAATTCTAAGATTCTAAGTCAATCACTGATTAGGCTAAAAATAAAGCATCCCTTCCACATGCCCACAGAAGGCAATCAACTCATGAAACTTAGAAGTTTTCCTAGAGGTCCRCTGCTCTTACTTTTTAAAGCTATTGCTACAGTAAACAATAAAACACAGCTCTTTCCCCTAGCCACTAACATATCAAAAGAAACAGAAAGCCTAAGCAAAACTAATGCAAAAATCTTCCCTCATCAGTGCCCTTAAACAGAGCTTGCTGCACATCACAGCCTTCCATCAGCCTCTCCTGAGATCAAAGCCGTATGCAAATCTCTCCACTCAAAGAGGCAGAAAATGATTGGCTAAGAAAATAAAAAAAATGCAGCTTATCTAAAAACAGAAGTTATCATACATATGAATTCTATCACACTAGATCACGACCTGTATTTATAACCTTTTTAAAAGGCATATTACTCAAGAAATGTGTACTGCATAACATCTACCAAATCAAATTAACAGTTTCAAAAGAAGGCAGAAATTTTTTTCTCTTTAATAAATTACATACCTCTATTTGCATATTCCTGGAAGAACCTGAATACAACCACAGGAGAACTCAGTTCATCTTCAACCTTTAAAAAAAAAAAATGGCTGTGAAAACACTTATACAAAGATTTAACAGTGAATATACTCTTTTAGATTGCTGAGTAAAGCATATCATTTTGTTTAGACAGCAATAAAAATGGTCACATTATGTCAGTATTAAAAGTTTCCCAATCCTGCAAATTACACCTTTTTTTTTAGCTAGGTAAAAGGGAGAAGTGCTACAGTAATTCAGACCTCCAAGGGAAAAAATGAACTAGAAATGAATCCATTAGATGTAATGTCTGTGACATTACTTCTGTTTAAAAACCTCAGCTGGGATTAAGTATTTTGATATGGATTCCATGGATTTCCTGGTATCATCTACACAACAGGGAAAGATGCAGTCAGAAAATATTAGAAAGATTTATGAAAATTAGTTTAATAACCATATTACTGAACAAACCAGTGTTTTAAAATAAATCAACCCCTGGATTTTCTTTTCTGTCAAATTGATTGAGTAAAAGAGCATGCAGCAGAGGAATGAGTACAAAGTAGAGGCCAAGAGATGCATAATCCCACTGAATGCTTGAAATAAGTTAATTAAGAAGCTATCAAGCATCTTAACAACAATGGCTACGTTTTAGATAATATTCCTCAAAATATTCCTCAATGTTGTTATCAYTTAATAGCCAAGACTCAGCTGTACAATCAAGGTATTAAATGCAAACTGTACCGAAGTTTTAATGAAATCCAGGTTTTTCAAGTTTTCCAGCAACCTTTGGCTCTAAAAGAKCACAGCAGAGGGTGAGGGGAAAACAGAGACAAAAAACATCATTTTAGAAATTGAAAATTACTTTCATAAACATTAGTTACCACTACCATTTTAATGTTACCAGTTACCTATGAAATGTCAGTTGATTCACCCAATTCTTATAACAGAGAATCATTTAAAATTTTTAGTAAAACACAGGATACAAAGTGCTTTTTGTCAAAATAAAATCTCCGTGCATTGGGATAATACTTCTGAAACTTTATCAGCTAAGCGAAGCACTGTGTATAGCAGAACCAATTGATTTTTTTCCAAAGCTACCATAGCAACCAGTTATAATAGCTTTCTAAATTATTTTCATTAGAAAAGACATTATTATAAAGTAGCCTAAGACTATTAATAGCCTATTATAAAAGCAGAGATCATTCTTAGATGCCTGAAGTCTTAAATGACTAATGACRCTTTGTCACACTTTGAGGTCTTTCATGCCAATAGCTTTTTCACTAGTCACTGAAGAAACTGTTTTATTTCCCAAAAAACAACCTCTTTGCCRTTCTCCTCATTTTGAAGGGCTGTATATTTAAGAGGAAAAATGCACTGGCTGTAACTAGTGGGTTTTTTTTTTTCCTCATTTTTAACTAACATATTACATTCAGCTTTTAATGAATAAGGATTCAACATTGAAAATAGTGCATCTGTCACTGTATTTAGCGAACTGTTTTGAAATCTTTTGTCAGCTGTTTATAGTCCCCACTCCTTATCAGTGCAATGYCTAGCAGAGTAAGAACATAAGAAACTGTCTCTCTGAACAGCTTTCAGCCAAAACAGAAAAAAACGAGAGAAGTGACAGGAAAAAAACATTACTAGTTGTGAGGCGTGCTTTATCCTCTCCACAATCCCATCRTGGCCCAAGTACTGCAAGGAGAGCCACAACGGCAGGGCACGTAGCTTCTCAACAGGCTGACTTGACGTCAGCCCAGCTGCTAAGGACTAGAAAAGGAAAACAAATGACAAAAAGAATCATTACCATTAGCTTTTTACTGTTATCATCCATTCACTCAGATATTTACCAATTACTGAAGGCTTCACAATTTAAACAGAGACTCTTTTGCAAATAATTATTTAGATGCTTGTGAATAACAAAACACTAGACCASGGTTGCTCCTGCAGTCTCAAGATCTTAAGAACAGCAGAAGTTAAACATACCAAGGAAGGATCCTCATGYCTGTAGAGTGTCACAGCAGGTACAGCTGGGAGTCCCAGCCAGGAGCCCAGGGTAAGGGTCATGCTGTCGCATTTTGTAGCCGCCTTAAATTCATTACAAAACAGAATAGAAACCATTTAGATCTTGATTAGATTGTGACCTTAAAATATAGAGCATTCTATAAGGTTTCTAGATATAGTAAAACATACCAGTACAGAAGAAGAGACGTAACCCAAAGCCAAAGTTGCCAAATTCACACTAAAAAATAAATAAATAAATAAAAATTAATCTGTTCAACCTCTAGGGACTCCATCCCTCCAAGTCCTACACATATCTCAGCACCAAAAATATACAGCATGCAAATAAAACACCATGCAATGAAACACCACAAAGCAGGACAGATAAAATTACTACCCGAGTAGTATTACTAACCTATGCTGAAATACCACTTCAGTTAGTTAATCCTGTGTACGTAAAACAATCTTGTATGGAGAAAAATTTACTACCTCTCTTCAATAATGTTAGCTACAAAATTGTGAGTTACCCGTGAGACTGATTTTTTAATTACTATAGTTAAAATCTCAAGTTACATACCCTTCTACATGGAGCCACATGTTGTACTGTTCACARAGTTCCTTCAGGCGCCCAAGTTTATCTGTGTGTCCTGCTCCCGGAGTCCCTTTGTGGAAAAGGTAAAAAGGGAGTCATGACAGGTAGGAATACAAACTAAGACTTACAGGAGAAGAGCATCTTGCATCCTGCTGAAAAAGTGTTGCACAGGATAGTAAGAGGGATTTTTTTAAAAAAGTATCTTGCAATATCACTGCATTTTGCTCATTGGTGAGATATAAGCAATCAGAACTCTAGATAAAATCCAAGAATGTTTTGTCAATATATACTAAAAATACCTAGAAAATTAAATATCTTGGGCATCCAAATATCCAAAAATTCAGTAGCCTCAGTTAAGAATTGAGGTTTTAAAAACATTAAAAGTATGGCTTTTTGTACTTAAATAAAGAAAAGCGAAACAAAAACAGCCTCCTCCTTCTTAAAAAAAAAAAAAAAAAACCACATTTTAGTCGGTATGAATATGTCAAATGACAAACAGAACTGTAACACTGCAATTCAATCTTGAGTAGGTTAAATTAGTATTCCCTGAATAACTAATTACTGTGTGGTCACCAAAACATTCCTTGACAYGAAACCATTAAATTGTTTATGAAAATACATATTTATTTTGCACTTATGTATTCATTAGAGTGACTTTTTGCTATTGTTTATTCACAGTACTTGCCTGCATTGGCCACAAGCAACAAAGGCATTTTTCCAGATTCTGCATCATCTTTTATCAATCTGTCCAATAAAGCAACATCCTGTTATCAATAAGAAGAGAATATATATTTATAAATGCATGTCTCAAAATTGATTATTTCTGTAAAAGTGGTGTGTTGAGTAGCAGAGAATAGAATTCATTTTTTTAGGCCAATGCCCTGATTAAATCCTTAATATCTTTCTGTTTATGACTTGTACTTTCTTTTTCTCAAAGGTAAAATAAGCCAAAGGTCAGATAAAATACTTGTGAAAAAACAACAAATATATCATGTATTTTGTAGATGTATCTCTTCCCCTACACATTCTAAACAAGCTTTCTGCAAGACCAAGATTTTAGCTCCTGGCATCAACAATTCTTTCCTAACAATGTTTTCTTGGCATTCACTTGACGTTTCACAAAGTTTGAGAGGTCTGTAGGAAGCCAAGTCAACTTACCATTTGATGCTGAGATCCAAACATAGTGTTACAAGGCACCCGGCACATGCATGAAAGCGGTAGCCCTAGCTGCAAAAAAAAAAAAAAAAAAAAAAGATAGAATTTGAACAATGAAGTTATGCTTTAGGATGCTCAATTCAAACATTCACAGGAATACACGTTAAAAACAAGACTCAGAAAACAGAAAATATGGCATTTAGAAACCTGGCTTAATTAACCTCAGACTTCTACCCCCCCAATTGTATGGCTGTTGTTTGCATTGCTATTGTTTCTATGTTGAAGATTAAGAAGTAAATTTTCAAAATCATCATGGTAATTCTAATAGATGACATTCGAGGAAGACATATGGCTATAAATGAAAACTGTCACCAGACCCAAACAATTAACTGCTGCTAGGATAAAATACCACTCTTTTCCAGGAAAGCCTTTTTTTTTTTTAAACGTAAATTTCCAACAGGCAAAATGAAGCCACACAGGTTCTACTTGCAGCTAAAATCCCAGCTAATTCACTTTACCTGATTGCAGAGAGCTTGGCCCAAGCCCATTCTAGCTGCAGAACTAATGTATATGACAGGCTGCTTAGTGTATAGCACATTAAATCCTTCTACTGTATAATCTTCATAGCGTGTGTGAATAACAAGTCGACAAATTTTTAAGAGACCTTCACGATCATCTTCATGATAATAAGCTGACCCATTTTCATACCTGCAAGAAAACATGAGTAAATATCGAAAAACAAAAACAATATCCAGTTTCGTTTTTAAAATATCACTAACCATTTAAGGAGCTCACAATGGGGGAAGACAGAAAAATAACAAAGAAATCTTTTATTTATCCAGAATAATTACTGATACTGCTTCTATTTGAGTCAGTTTAAAAATTTAATAAATTTCATTCAGAATGCTACAAAGYGCTTGTCTAGAAGTTTCGAGCACCTGAGTTGCATAACTAAATCATGTCTTTTTCTCAGCAATACATTTACTGATTTTATTTTCTGCCTTCAAAATGATTTATTAAGCACACTTCTTTAGGATGGTTTATCCTTTTTTTTAATTATTTTTTTTTCAAAGTCCTCTAAACATCAAACTCAAATCAGCAGAAACAGGCGCAAGGTAACCAAAGAAGAATGAAGGTACAACTGAAAAGAGAAGGCACTTCCCCCTCCAACACACAGCCACCTATCCAGAAGATTTCCAATCTTTTTCTCCTGTGGGACAATTTAAGATACCCACATTGAATGATGAAATAAGCATTGATAAAACAGGCATTTGCAAGATATTTCATTCTACTAAAAATTTCAATAGTGTTATCTACTGTACCTGAAAAACAGAACAAGATCCTAGAAGAGCCAATGAAAAGCTAACTGATAATGTCTTTTAAAAATATGAAGTATCACAAAACCCAGCAACAGAGTATAGAATAGAGTATACAGAGTATACAGAGTATATCTCAAGAAACACATTTTCAACTCTCTGCCTGCAACTGCACTTTGACCCTTGATTCCACAATATATTTCTTATAAAATTACTTTCACAATAAGCATATTACTAACAAATTCCTGCCTTTCAATAAGAGACTTTTACTTTTTTTGTATTTCAGACCTTTCAAAGAATACTTGTACATTTACGGACAATAGCTTCTTTTCTGGATATCCTGATTTCAGGTATAAGTCTTTTTGAACAGCTATCATTACTCAACCATATATAAGTCATTCATAATGACCCACCTGAAGAGCCTACAAAGCCAGAGAGTGGTATCTGAAAGGATCCTTGTGGTCAGTTTTCTCAGCCGTTCCCTGTCCAGAACTGATATATAAGCAGCCAAACTATGTCCCAGTAGAGCCATGTGACCCTGTTCTCCAACATTTTGCAGTCTGCAAGCCAGAACACTGTATCACAGTAACTGCCAACTAAACACAAGTCATGAATATTACAGGAATTTCAGGCTAGCCTGTTTTTACTGTAGATTGGGAGAACTTGCTGATAAGAAACTTGAAATATTTATCAGAATGAAGTACATTTCACCACAGTGACCGCACTGCCATTGGGTATTAACATACTCAAATGGCACTTGCACTTGATTTGGTCAAGCTACTTAGGATAACCCTTCAGCTTCTTTTTAGCTATTCAAGAGAAACCATAATGGGAGCTGAAGGCTTCATTTCACCAGCCTGTATAAATGARAGCTAAGCACCTGATCTCCACTGGACTTCAATTTGCATTAACACATACCTTCTTTTCCTCCTGCAGACAAAGCTCAGGAGACTATTACTCCATTACTATAAAGCTTTTATTTCCTTTTTTTCCCCTTTTTGAATCTCTAAACTATAAGTTTAAGCACTTTAAAATGCTTAAAATTATCTACTGCTTAAACTTATACATTTTAAAATAATCACAATTTATAACAAAAAAGTACTTTCTAGATAAAACAATTCAAAGTGGCTTTACCTGTAGGACTGTGAAGACTCCTCCTCCTCCTCTCCATGCATGAGGTTCTGAACTAACTGAAGTATGCTCACCATATCCTGGCCACTGGCAGCCCAAGGCAAGGAAACCAAACCAAATCAAGGCAAGAGGTCAGTACAAGCATCTACTGACAAGGTTACTTAGAACACTGCACGGCAAGAAAGCTAAAATTTATAGGAGTCCAAGAACTAATACACATTAAGTTGAAATTGATTTTTAATTCTTAGAATAAGCCAATTTAGCGTCCCAACTCCCTCTCACACTTTTTTTTTCCATTTGTGCACACAAGAATGTCATATAGACTGCAAAGTTTTCCYAAGTGCTAGCTTGGACTTATGCAGAAATCATTTGTAGAACAGAGCCTGTGACAAATTTAAATCTTAGCTTTTAAATATGGCAATCTGTAGTATTATGCAAAAAAAGTGCCATGTAATTTTTCAGATTGCTGTACTAAATTGGATTTATTTATTTATTMAGTTTTCACTTTACCCAGAAAGAAGCATCAGTTATGAATTTCTTATCTGGATGCTTTATGAATCTTTATTATGTAGCACAACTTAATCTGTATCTGCTCAATCACACCACTGCTTCCTTAGTTTCTAGCAGTTCAAAATTACAATCACCAATGACAAGTAATCTTTTTTTCCCCTCTGCATAAATATGGAAATAGTCATAAAAGGCCATTCACGTCTGGCAAATGTTCATGTTTGCATTAATACAGAAGTTGCTTGGAAAGCAAACATTTTACATGCAACTTACAGGCTCTTAAAAAAGAGCATTATCTAAAATTATCATTGCCTACCTGCCCTGAAGTGGTCCTGGAATATCCTTCCGTGTGTATCTTTTTTCATTTTCTTCTTCTTTTCTAAATAAAAGAAACAAAAGCAAACTAGTATACTAGTGATATATACTAGTTTGTATCATCTAACATCAAATATTGCTACACGTGCTTGACTTTGCTTCATAGRAAAACATACCTAAATGTTTCATAACTTATAACTTCACTTAAAACACTTTGATGAATAAATCAAATAAGATCAACAAAAAATTTAGCTCAGACTGAAATACAAAGTTCCTAAGATTTTTAACTCTTTTTAACTCTTTAAGAGAAAATATYCAACTTAGTGAATTACACACCACAGTTATTGCGTTTCAGCACAGAGTTATTGCATTTGTGGTTTTTATTCTTTGTACATACCTTTGATTGTCTTCTAGCATCTTCATTGCTTCATTCAGGTTCTTTCCCATCTCTGCTAGAGTTGGGTCCACCATCTTTCAGAACAGAGGGAAGGAGAAAAAAAAAAAAACAGAGAGAGACTTTTCAGAAAGACTGATAAATCATCTACCTTACTGGGCTGCCCACATTCTTGATAAAACATAATGCATGATGTAGATGCTTTTTAATTATTCAGTGTACACTCTTTTTAAACAGTATCATGTTGTATGTCCTGAACTCACACTACACAAAAATGAAAACAGAGTAGGGAAAACACGATGATACCCAAAATACAAGTCTTTCAGTGGAAAAAGCTCATTTAAAAGTAATCCTGTCACTTCACTGGAGAACTCATTTCTCTACAGCTACACACTACCATCTTCTCAGGTGCAGATCATTGCTTTGAGGCCAGACTGGTCCCTCACACATTCAGTTCTTTTGCAATAAACAGATTCTCATTTAAGGAAAAAGAAAAAAAAAAAAAAACGTCTAGCCTCTATGCCATATAGTAACTGGAAAAAGATACAGAGACACAGGGAAACAAAGCCAGATCATCAGATAAGCACAACATCATTCTTGCATATTACCTTCTAGAAATGGAGCTGTTTGTGATGCAAAACATTAAGAACATGGTGCATTTTGATGTAAATTCAAAGAAAATTCATTGCAAAAATGGAAAGTTTGTGTCTTAAGGCATTCATACATATTCAAGTATTAATTTCTATCAGAGGTTAAAAAGGCAGCATTTCTTAACTAGGGAAAGCAAATGTTGTAAGGGTGCTCTAGTATATGTAGAACAACAGTTTTATAATAGAGAATACAAGCAGGAATACAACGGTGTCATTCAGATTTTACCTGTCGAACTTTGACAGCAATTGTCAAAGCAGATGGGAAACCACCTCAACTCATCTAAATGGTCTTATAAACTTTATTTCAAATACCTTTAAACCAATCTGTACTCTAAATTTGCCAAATGTCCTTTAACAAGACTAAAAGGGAAACAAGTAACCTGCAGCTGGCTTAAGAATGACTAACAACTTGTTTTCCAACAGTTACAGCCCTCTAGCTACACAGAACAGGTTAAAAATGCAGGATTCACCACTGAAACTGGGTGAATAATACACAATTGTTGGAGCCTTTTGGGATGCGAAAGAACTTTAAAGAACATTGAACGTAGCTCCTATGAACCATCTGACAAACTCAAGGACTAGTAAGTAGTTTGTTCAAGGCAAAAAATAGTTTTCTGGGAAAAAAAAACCACACACACACACAAAACAAAAACAAAAGAAGTTATTATAAGAACTTTCAACCAAACAGCCTGGTCCCCAAACTCAGCATCTAGTATTTAACCCTTTAGGTTGTTGCTAAGGTTGGAGGTTTGTATGATTTTAAAAACAAAATCCTAAATTAGCTCAAGAGAATTTAAACCTACGCCAGCGATAGTGCAGGGATGCACGGCTGATGACAGCAGCCCAAAGTCTGGATGTGCTTCCCGGCACTGGCACCACAGGCGCGCCAGCTACGCACACAGGTATGTTTGCTCATGCACAAGTAGGCATAAAAGTAAAATTAACTGTAGAAGGGAGTGGGATTCATTTACATGAGGATTTTACACTACTTCATCGGGAGGGCTGATTAAGAAAAAAAAAAAAAAAATCAGTTGAGCGTCACCATATGTTCAAAGACTATTTTTTACTAAAATATTTAGAGATTTATCTCATTTTATAGCAAGTAGTGGGTGGCTAGAAGAATCAGGAGCCAGGCACGGTCATACTGATAGCGACCAAACTGGTAGCTCTACATTTTGCTGCTTTGTAAGTGTCCAGTAAAAAGCATTTGAGGAAAGAACAAAGGAAGTGCAAGTATTCATTCAGACAGTAACAACAAACTATGATCATTGCTAATATTTCCATGTATTTGCAGTGGTTTCTSTTGGGTTGCAGCATACCAAAGAGAAGTTTAAATCATACTTAAAGTCTCCCAAAAGCAAAATGGGTTTTTGAAGGGAGTAATGGCATACACATTATTTATTGATTAAGGCAGCCTCTATGGTGAGATGGTAATAAAATAACACAAAACAAAACAAATGACTAAAAGCCAGTTATTTGCTTAAATCCTTTTCAGCATTAAATGCTACAGATTCAAACATCTGCTGCAAGTGATGCTGTAAGATGTAGAGATATTACCAAAAAATCTGGGCTGCTGTATTTGTTATTAACAGAAAATCACATCAGATATTTTAACTAGTATGTGATTCCCTTCCAATTTACCCCATCTCACTTTCTGCACCTACCATACACGAATCCTTTTTGCCAATAAGCAGATAGATTAAGGGCGTAGCATACAGTTTAAAAGTTATTTTTTCTGCCACAAAATGTTATTCTAAGCTTCATAGAGTGCTATGAAATTCAGCAAGTCTTTCAATTTGGATATGGGTTTAATGGGAAAATAAATCCCTTTTTTTTTCCCAAAATGCTAATTTCACACACAGCAACTTACTTTCTCCCTTGTATCACAGGAAGCCAAAAAATCCCTATTACTGCTGCAAACTGAATTTGATATATACTTTTCYTCCCCTGCTCACATTAGCAAGGCTGTGGAGGTGGAAAGCAAATGAGCTCTCTGCTTATTTTAAACAGCTAAAAAAACAGGCAGTTTCAAGGAGCCAGTTCATTAGGAAAAGTTTCTGAATACACATTCAATAACATATCATAATAAATGCAGTGCGTTCCTATGGTTTTATTTGTAAACAAACTACGAACTCAAGTGTGCATAAGCTGCACAGTAAAAAACAGTTCCAAAAAAGCAGTTCAAGAACCCAACTGAGAAGACTGCCATACAAGTTTTGAACCCTACCTCCTAAATCACAGGTCAACAGGTTTCTCTGGGCAGTGACAACAGCATTAGGCCCAAGTGGCATGATGCCTGTACTGGATTTTTCATAAGGATGCAGAGTAAGGTATAACCCTTGTCCTGGGAAAATAAATTTGCCCAAGTAGTGCAATAACTGTGAGGGTGTAAATGCTCATCCAAAGCATTAGTCTTTGCTCTTCCAAAGCTTTTAGCATTTGCTGATTTAGACCTCACAGAGCATCTTGATGTTCTTTCTTAGGCATCTCTCAAGTGTTCTGCTTTTCTTTCAATCTTATTTGACAGTTTCCTTTATTCCCCATGTGAATAGTTTCCACATCCTTTTGGAAAGAAAAATAAAAGCTTCACAGAATCAGAGCGAACACAATTTTAAAGCAGGATGCACTAGCACCCTGCCCGAGTTCCCTTCCCTTCGAGCGCAGGCTCCATCCCCGGCCCTGCCTGACTCCTGTTTTAGTGGCCTTCTGCAGAACCCACATCCTTCACACACACCATCTCTGTGATCCTTTCCACCAAGCACTAAGCAATTCTTTCCACCAACCCACTTATAGAAAAGCTGTGGCCTCTCCTACGTATTCTGTCCAGCACAGCAGAATTGACACAGCTCTAAGTTCTCCTTTACCATTTGCATTCAATTTAATTAAATATTACTAAGCTCATTTTTGCTTTTCCTATGCAAGTTTCTGACATTATTCACAGGATCATGTAGACCTACAGTTCTTGAGAAATTGAAGAATAAAGAAGCTCTTGTTTGCTTTCTTTTAGGTTCTGTTCTCATGTGTCCAGAAATAAACTACTGAGACAGAAGATTAGCTGTTCATCAAGTCACTTAAAAGTTCATGCTTCTGAACATTAATATGAAAGCCAGATATATGTTTTTTAATATTTATCCTTTGCTAAGAAAGAGACTTAAAACTGCAAACTGTGAAATAACTATAAGAACTATGACATTATTTGYGAAATTATCTCAGAAACTGAAAATTGCTTACATCAGCCTTAGTTTCTGCACTCATTCCTTCTCCTGGAATCAAAGGAATCRACTCTGATCACAGTTAGGTTTTTGGTCCTTTGACTAGTTGAGTTGCAAGACACACAGTGTCATTTCAAGAGACAAGGAGGCATCAACCACTGCTTCTTCTATTCAGCATCCTGCTACCTTATTCCCCTTCAGTCTTTCAAAAAACGTGAGGTTCACTAGCTTGCATTATTTTTTTTAGGCAAATTGCCTTCAAAAATGTACTAATCCAGCTCAATCACATTCACTTGCAGCAAGTCTTAATGACGCTTACTTCTGAATTTTATTATTTTTAAAGCACTTTATACTTTGAACTGTAAACTGTTTCTCATCTAAAGGCTGACCATTGAGTTACTTGGTAACAGGAAGGATGTGTGGCCATCTCTAGTTGTGATGAGATGAAAGGTTAATTATAAACTTAGAAAGGARAATATTATTTCATATCCCAATGCTTTTTAATCTCAATTCCGCATTCTTAGTAGCCTGCACCTCAGAGAGTTTTTAACAGTCCATTATCAGTCTGCAAAAGTAAACTACTGTGTCTGCAGATTCGTCAGTGTAGTTCATTGAATATTTCTTGAAAAGTATGTCTTTTTTTTTTTCACTATTATATTTGCTAAGAAGAAAGTTTTGCCACCAAAACCAAAAACCTCTCTCAACAGTAAATAGTCTCAAACAATGATCAGTTTACTCTGAATAAGATGAAGAATACTATCTTTGTTCAGGAGGCTAAGAAAGCTATAGATTACAAGAACAAAAAGCAGCAGCTTCATGTTTATTAGTCTAAAATACATCCTATTACCATAAGGTATTTTGCTTTCCTTATCACTTCCCTGTCATGCAGCAGAACTGGCAGACACTTCTGCTGTGACAAGCTTTCCATAAAGTAACCAGGATGTTAGGATAATTAACGCAGTTACAAGAAACAAAAGATAGAGGCTGAGTAAGAAATAGAAACTTTTTCATGTTAAGGTAAAACAGTGTTGTGGAGACACAGAAAGAATTTACCATGTTTTTCCAGTATCAAAGTTATTAGTCTGAAATGTAGAATGTTTAAATCCCTCAGAAGGTTTGTCACATGTCAAAATACAAATAGGGGACAAACAACAACAACAACAAAAATAAAATCACAGATTCACTGGCCAAACTCGTTCCGAAATTAACACAGGCTTCCAGAAGTATTTCAAGTTTAAGTTTACACAAAAAGGATTTCTGCATCTCATTTAAAGCTCATTACAGTTTTAATCTTATGCTGCACATATTCATAGACCAAACCAAAAATATTCGTCTAGTAAAACAAAATCAACAAAACTAAACAATGAGTGGTGATGTGCACACCTGTGTACCAGATTCTACAAATTTCACTCGCAATCTTATCACATAGCATTTTCAACTCCCAAGAAGCTTTTCATTTAGTAAATACACACACATATATATACACACACACTTTTTAAAATCTGCACATAGCAAATGACTGAGGTAGTTTGATATTACCATATATTACAGCTAAACAAATGATTCTATCAAAGTGCCTTCTTTAATAAGAAAAAAGCATTACAATTTGTCAAATTTCTGTACAAATTAAATGTACTTTTCAGACGTCCCATGATAAATCATATGCATAAATAAACAAAAAGGGGGGACTCTTGAACATATTTTTCATGGGGATTTTCATGCTATATCAACTCATTCTGTTGCCTAGTCATTAATCACATCAGAAAAGACACTTTCCAAGTTCACTGCTCATTTCACCAGAGCCGATCCCATAAGACCTTGTAGTCCTTATGGCAAAGAATTCAAAAACTAATCCCACTGTATACAGCAAGGGAAGCAAAGCAGATGCATTAACTTCTCTTAAGCACACAGAATAAAGCCACAGCAAACGCACTCTACCCGGAAGGTGTACAAACCCACATAAGCCATACAAAGCAGCCATTCTGGCCTCACTCACAGAACAGGCCCTGCGAAGCACAGCAGGTGCTGTAAAAGCCAGCAGATGTGTGACAGCTCCTGGATTACTCTACCGGAGCCTCACTGACTCACAGGGACAAGTCCTGCCCGTGACTTAGGGCATTACAGAATCAATATTTGCTTTGCACAGTGCATCACACCGGAGAAAGCACACAGATGAAGAAAAGCTCACTATAAAAGCAAGGGAAGCARGGGAAATAATGTCAAGCGGTATTTCCTCTACCGTCTTGCTACAGCTTCCTTTTTTTTTAAATTTTTTTAGAAAAAAAATAAAACGCACAAACAAACAACCCTTCTCCCTGCAGCGTTTTCCTCGCAGCTCCCTCACGGCCTCCTCAGCTTCCCGCGGCTCCCAGTGGCGGGGATCGAGCCCGGGCCCCCTCCCCGGCCGCGCCGTTGCCCCGCGCACCTTCTCCAGCGAGGCGTCCATCGCCGGCGGCGCCCCCGCCGCGCGCCGCTCCCCGCCGGCCACTTCCGCCTCGCCCGCGGCCGGCTCCACGCTGGCAGCGCTGACGAGCGCCGGGGAGGAGGCGCCCAACGCGGCGCAGCGCAACGCGCCTCACCTAGGGAACGGCGCCCGCGCCGCCGCCGCCGCCGGAGCGGGGGACGGACCAAGGCGGGCGGAGCGCGGGGGGGCGGCGGGACGCCGTGGGCCACGGAGGGGGCTGCTCCGCGTGGCGCCCTCAGCGGGCAGCCGCCCGCGCCCCCCGCGCCATCTCATGGAACAGGCCTGGAGGGAGGCTGGGAGGGAGGTGACAGGTAGTGGCGCATGCGCAGCGGGCCGTAGCGCTGCGCCTCGGCGTGGCGCGGGAGGAGGCAGCGGCAGAGCGGCCGGTCCTGCCCGGCTCTGTCGTTCAGCACCGGGGAGGCGCCGTGGCARGGCCCGGCAGGCGGCCTCGCCACCCTGGTGGCGCTCACACGCGTGCGCCGCGCTGCTCGCCGAGGTGGTTCCTGCGGCAAGGGCCGCCGATGGCATCGCTGCTACCTGCTCAAAAGCACTTAGGGCAGCAGGGCCTCGTTATGGCGCGATCTGTATAAAACACAACAAAGGTCCTGCTCGAAGAGCTGCTAGTTTAAAGTGTGAAGGCAAGAATGCCGTTATTCCTGTTCATGAATGGGGAACAAGGCTAAGACCTCATGGGTTCATTTTCAAGGATGTCGAACACCTACAAAACCTGTCTGCAGCAGCACGGCGGGCTCGGCGCCACTGTGCTAATTCCAAACCCAAACACCTTATTTTACAAATGCTGCAAAAATAGCTTTCAGTTTTCAGTGAGGTATGTGGGACAAGCTGGTGAGGCATACGGAGACTTTCAGAAGCYGGTAATGCAATTGGGCTGTGGGAATTTTAAGCCCACAAGAAGCAATCACAGGTAGGGATGTWAGTGCTGCTCCTGGGCATAAAAAGGAGTAGGAATCTGATCTGTAGGATGCGATGGGGATACTTTTTTTCATGCATTTCCACATTCTCATGCATTTCTACTCTCCTTAGCACTAGAGTTACATTAATTTGTGTTCATGTATTATTAAAACTATTAATAAAAGTATAAATAACAACAAGYATTAACTTATAGCAGTGAATAGCAGGTGGCAGCAAGTCCTTACAGGGCGGCGCGGCGGCCGGGCGGCTCTGGGTGCTCCCTGAGCGCCGCGGTGCCTGGGCGGGGAGCGGGGCGGGCCAGGCGGGCGGGCCGGGCCGCGCGGGCCATGTCGGCGGC